TACGATTTCCTCTACACCTATTCTGAGCTACAGTTTCGTAGCCATTAGAAACGGCTATTTGCCGTGCCAAGTTCCGGGACTCCTCTCTCTGCTCTCTTTCCGTGCACACGTTGGTTGCTGTTCGAAACATGTTTCTTATAAGCGCCCTTTTCGTGTGAGAGGGGTGAGAGGAGAGGTAATGAACCAAGATATTTTTACTACTTGGCTTTCGGTACCACTTTGTAATGTAGCCATTTTCTGATAGGTGAATTTGTACGTTCAAAAATGGAAGCCATTTTTCTTTCGGCTTTTCTCGGGTGAACTTGATATACTCTGNTCTCTACCACTGGGGCAAATTATGCAATTTTGAGTTGCACATAGACGGTCGTATAGGCGGTTACGAACTAGCTGGCGCTTAAGATTACTCGGTGGTATTTCAACTACGCTCACCGAATTCTCTAAGCCCGCCCTTCTTAAGCAGCGTTTTATAGCTGTACTTATATCATTTGAGATGAAGGGTAGGATAAACGGGACCCTTCTATCGCTAGAGTTGTCGTTTGGAGGCCTACGATTTCCTCTACACCTATTCTGAGCTACAGTTTCGTAGCCATTAGAAACGGCTATTTGCCGTGCCAAGTTCCGGGACTCCTCTCTCTGCTCTCTTTCCGTGCACACGTTGGTTGCTGTTCGAAACATGTTTCTTATAAGCGCCCTTTTCGTGTGAGAGGGGTGAGAGGAGAGGTAATGAACCAAGATATTTTTACTACTTGGCTTTCGGTACCACTTTGTAATGTAGCCATTTTCTGATAGGTGAATTTGTACGTTCAAAAATGGAAGCCATTTTTCTTTCGGCTTTTCTCGGGTGAACTTGATATACTCTGGCTGTGCATTTAACAACTCGAAACATATGTCCATTTCCTCTTGTGTTGAGCAAAGGACAAAGCAGTCGTCTACATACCTACAGTAGAGTAGCGGCCCGAGATCAGTCACCGGTGCTTCCACCTTGAACATAAATGCAATGGCAAGCCTTGGAACCAGTTTCTGATCTCCTGTGAGACGTGTGGTGACGAATACATTGGCGAAACGGGTAGACCCCTCTGTGTCCGCATGAAAGAACACCTAGCCGGCAAAAATAGACCAAATACCCCGCTAGGCACGCATAGGACCCAGAGACATAACGGGGACGACTTCGAAGTATGTGTCACGATCCTCGCACGCGAATCAAGAGCACAGGCGCGAAAAACTCTCGAGGGACTCTGGATTAATTCCAGAAATCCGAAAATGAACCGCAGGGAAGAATGCCTCATTATCACGCGTGATATAGGGCAGTATATAAGACTGCTATTCTGATAGGAGGGGCATATTATGCTTCTATGTGATTTCTGTGCGGTTGGTCTCTATGTGACATACTTAGTGGAAACCGCATAGAAAGCGGTGAGTGTGCAAAGCTGTGTTCAATGTGATTGAAATCTTGGTTTAGAGTTTCTTTGTTTGGTTATGGAGGCGTCTGGCTGAGTAGATTGCTGTCAACTTGACCTTTCGAGGCTCCGAGGAAGGCGAAATCCGCCCAAACGTCAGCTTATTCGTTAATAAAGAATAATAAGACCTCGCGTTTGCTCAGCAAAAAATACGAAGATGTTGGGGTATTATTTAGTCCACAAACTCTGTAAGCCCTCCAGTAACTATTCCATATAGAGAGCAACGGCACAGAGTTGACATGGATGGATAATGAGTCTTTGTCGCACCAAAGTATCAGTCTGAGATATTGTGCGAGACTTCTTGTGAAATCGAGGTATTACTTCTTGCAGTTTGCTTTTGTATTACCGTTATCTAACCAGAATGCTTTGAGAGTTTTGTGCGCTTATGATTTCTAACGTAGAGCAAGCATGATAATTTCTACTTAAAAATCTTTCCCGTTATGTTTCTATTTCTTGTCCGCGTTTAGTTGGGTAGTTGTTTTAACTTTAAGCTTAAGTTTTGCTGGCCGGATCTTTTTTATATGGATGCAAAGTGGTCTATCCCTCTAGCCAATGCATTCGTTCCCGCCCAGTTTACAAGTGACCATGTCAACCGTACCCGAAATCAGTCAATTCACTACAGTTAGGGCATGTTGTGCAATTTTGTGTTGTATGGACGGTCATACAGGCGGTTGCGAAATAACTGGCGTCTTAGAGTGACTGGTGGTATTTCAATCATTGGTATCGAATTCTCTTGACCGACCCTTCCTAAGCAACGTTTTATAGCCGTAGTTATTTCGTTGGAAATGGAAGACGGAACAAGTGCGACCTTGTTCTCACTTGAATTATCGTTCACGGGTGTAAGTTTTCCTCACCTGCCATTCCGAAGCGCTGCAGTTTCTTACTTGGACACTTGGATACTTGGATGGCTCGTCTTCACCGGTTGTGTTGGCATCAGCGTTATCCTCGTTTCTTCGAAATTTCACTGATTTGGTAATTGCGATCCCTTGGAATCTCGAGGTCAGTGTGGCCAAAATCTGCCCCAGATCTTCACCACCGCAGACAGTCGCCGCCGTTGTGGATCAGAAGAAGATCAACCACCATGCGACTAGTTTGGTACCAAGACGGTGACGGATCCTGGTGTTGGTCTACTTTAGGTGGGCTTCCTCATGGAAACACCGAACTCCTTCTCAGTTTTGAGGACCTTCTAAGAGGGATGAATCCTCCCACTGTGCATCGCACTCCGACACACAGGAACAGTACCTAGCCACGATGAGGCGGTAAACCGTTGGGTGGACTACAATTTCTTACCCGTTAGAAATCGCTATTTGCTGTAGCATTCTCAGGGGTTCTTTCCTTTGCTTTCTTTCTGTGAGCAAGAAGCACAGTGGTTAGCGATGTGCTGCAGTAATCCATTCATGACCTCTGGATGGGTCCTGCGGCGTTCAACAAAGACTTCTACCTCGTCAGAATCAGAAAATTTGTACCAGACTTATCTGAAGGAAACTCTTTCTGATTCAGGTATCTTTTTGTAATGATAACCTAGAAAGGCTCTACGGAATCTCATCTAGGATTTCAAAGAGAATAAAGTCGAAGGATTCTCAACGACAATAAATTAGCGACGAAGTCCTCGTGTGGAGGATTAATCCACTAGGAAATTCGAAGCTCGCCGTGGACGATGCAAGACAGTGAACCATTATGTGAAGTGCTAAAGCTCCCACGACGAATAAGCTCAAAACATATAAAGAGTTAACAATTAACATTCTACCATGATTATTCTTCACACATGCTGTGAAACGAAGTCAATTCGTGTCGGCCGATCTGCTTCACAATGTATTAAATCGAATGGAACTACATAGAACTCTATTTGCTAAGCACTATTTCTCCTTCTAACCAAGCAAATCTCAGTAATGATTGACCTCTTTGCATTTTGCTGAATTGATAGAAAATTTCAATGTTGGTAGGCCGTTTTCGAGCGATTGCAGAAAATCACTGTTCGGAGTATCAGTGAGAAGATAAGACCACAGCAAAAAGAACGAATCTAGTGAAAGAAGTAACGAGGTCTATCGTCTAAGGAACTACCATTAAAATACCGTGTTTCAATTTATGAAAGATACCAAAAACGAGGTAATGAAAGATTTATTTCAATATCGACATCTGAACAGCGAGATCATGTTCTTTTACGATTTCAAGTAACCAGAGTTAATGCGCCACCGGGTGTAAATCTGAAAATCGGTCGTGATTCGATTGACCACTCTATAATTTGTCTAAGCGTTTTATTTAAGTAAACTTTATGTTCACATGTTGAGTAGTCGTTAGAAATGTTACGCAATACACCCGGTTTTGTCGGCTCATTCGGGGCTCAGGAAAACCAAGTCCTCCTTCCCTTCAAAAGAAACGAAAATTTCTTCCAAAATTTTTGAGAGGTAAATAATTCTAAAGAATAAATATGACTTTAGCCAGTTCTACGGAGCATAACGCAGTTAATGGCACATACCACATCCCTAAGGCATTCATCAATGCCTTACGCCAAAACCAATACCATTTATGAATTTCAGTAAATGTTAGCAATCAAATAGTGGCGGCTGCCGATGGAATGGTCGAATATCCGAATACGTAGTTCCTACTCGATGGCCTAGAGCCTAAGAGTGGCAAAGTGTGTCGCAGATCCAACACTGAACGCCTGATGTGATGACCAGGTGATAAACTTGCTAACATTCAAGGGGTGAAGTGAAAAAATCTAGACCAACCAGATAGATGGTAAATGCGCTATGTTTCTCACAACTTTCGAAAAAAAAAGCACCCAGGTATTCAAAACATCCAGATATTCACAAAATTAGTCGAAAAATGTGGCACTCAGGTTTTAGCTTCAATCAAGTGGATTTTAAACATTTTCAGATTTGTGATTGTGCGAACTTAGACTCAGTTGTTATAAATTATACTTAATAACTATTGGTGCGTTAATGGTTTTCCGTTTTAGTAGCTTCCACCACTAAAATACTAAGATAAAACTCGCTCTAACTGAAAATCCTGTGGTACGTCAGCCAATGCGCGCGTGTGAGGCAATGGCTGGAGGCGTGCTGCAATACACACGTTGAAACGATCTCGGCGCATATGGCCCACCAAGCCCTTCATCCCTCCAGGGTCTGCAAATTGTTATCAGACTTATCTGGAAAGATAGCAGCACTGGCTAGATACACCGGTAAGCCATCGCGAGTCATTGTAGAGCACATATGCATTCAATCACCTCCAAACGAGGATTAATGAAGTCGAATACATGGTGCATCCCTCAGAGATTCACCAACGCCGACAGCTTTGTCTTTTATTATTAGCTTTTTGTCAGGTAATTTTGTCGGAGAAATCTGTTTGAAATTCACTATGTTCTCAAGCAAGTGGAAAGAAGGGATTTCGGCGGAACTTCTACAAAACCTTGCGTTGCTTTTAGAGCCATCGGTTATAATTTCCAACCTTCAACAGAGGTTGTCTTCAATAATGGGAAAAACCACTGGGTACGAAGAACACCAAGCAGCCGAATTGGGTAGTACTTAAGAGAAGATTCAAGAGTTAAGTACTGACTCCAGCGCCGTAGCAGTCCAGTTGTAGTTTCGCGTTCGGATCGGACGGATGATGGGTGCAGAAACCAGTAAACGGTGTGTATGTAAACGTATCGTCGAACACTCCTTGACTAGTGGCCACCGTACGGAATTCATCCACGGTGATCGTCGAGTTGAAGAGAATCGACTTGATCACCCATGGAACGGGAAGCGTTCGCCACAACTGAAATTAAACCCGAATGATGATGGTTAGAAAATCATAATGAACGATCAATAACCTGCTTTGCTGGGTTCTTATTCCTTTTCAAAAACGCAAACGGAAACAAATTCTTAACAGTACGATTTAGAGAAAGGTACTGTGAAAACGAGCTACATCGTTTCGTTGATATCTAGAACTGCATTTGATTCGAACCGTTTCGAAGAAACACTTGTCAATTTCTCCTTGTAAAATGAACCATTTATAGCAATTAATTCTTAAATAGTTCCTATTTCTATGTTAACTTATGCCTTCTACAATAACTGTTTTACTTCTAATCATTATACATCTATTTTCGCACATTCTGTAAATTGTTTCTCAACGACCGTTTCAAACAGTTGCCTCGCAGCTGGGCTAGAAAGGGATACTGTAACTTTTTTATAACTCCGCTCTTCTTTAACCGACGATTCGAGCGCTCAATAAGCCACCGTCGGCTGCATGTACTTTCAAGAATCGGCCGTTCCCATTCACTTTCTGTGCAAGCCTTTGTATGGCCTTCATGAACTCTTTGTACAAGAAGTTGTACTAGCTGAAAAAGTACATAACCTCTCTTACGACACACTCTCTGATTCCCTCTGTAAAACCCCCCACCCATTACAGACAGAATATAAGGAGCACCGTTAGCGATCAAAACCAGTGCCTGTTCTACAATCTACCAATGCCTGGGTTCCAACCCCCAGTGCTTGTCTCTCAATCCTCCAGTGCTTATCTTCCAGTCCCTCGTTTCCTCGTTGCTCTAACTCCAGGGTCCGCCTATCTTCCTTCAATTGTATCACTTGTCCACATTTCAATCCCGCTCGTATATATCCAGCTAACCATATATCGTCACATACCACATATTATTATTGTACCGTTTTTATTGCTATGAACTGTTACAGCTCAAATTCGAGGTTGTTCGCGGCAGTTACGGAAAAAGTCCCGCGTGGTAAGTTCATACAAAGCCGGGAATTCCACGTACAGTTGGCGGACAAAAGACAAATCAAACCAATTCCCTAATCCACTGGCCAACTAGCATACCACTAGTGTTATTATGATAATAATGTAAGTAACTTATTGGCCGATATCGTCAACTAGCTACTCAGTAGGATTTTGCTCCAAATAAGGAATAAAGGTTTCGGAAAAAAGTCTAACAGCGTAAAATTAAAAAGCGAAATGGGAGTAACAATCCGTATATTTTCACAAGCTCTCTACTTTACTTCTCCAATTTTCCACTAAGAGTCCAAGTAGAAGCATTTTTTCTATAGTTTGGAGAACAATAAAAGGCCTTCAAAAATGTTGGATCATCTCGTAAAAAATTTTAAGGTGGTATTACAATTCTATTAACAATAATGGCACCTATAGAATAATTCCCAGCTATTTATTCGCTGCTTATTAATGTTTCAAGGCAAGACATTATGTGGAATACAACAGCAATGACGCTGAGATATTCGCAAAACTCATAACACCATGGAAGCTTCGAACCCTAGACTACCTTCTCCGCTAGCCCATGTTTCACCTATTATACCACCGAGAGGAACCCTTATCTTCTATAAAATAATATTATGAAATAATGCATTCACCTTGACAAAATGGCAGAGATCAGAAGAAGTGACTGTGCTGATAACAGCTCGTGTGTCGAAAAACGCTGAGAAATAAAGACATTCAACGTGAGCGGCAGCTAGAGAACTCAGAAAAGATCCTGAAAAGAATTTCGTCGCTCGTCTTGATTTCGTTGTGGTGAGACTTGGTTTTCATTTAGAAAGCAAACAATAGTTAGCTTAACGACAGGTTTGATGAAGCGTAAATTTCAGACTCCATAAGCACTTCGATTTCACATTCCATGCAGTTGTTCTCATAAAAAAGCGGTTCGGCTAAGATTATTTCGTCAAAAGAAAAAAAGATTTTCGCTTTCGGATATTCACAGTTAGACCAAATCTTCGTTGAAAACTCAGCACTTCTTCATTTATTTTTGGAAAACCCAAAGCCGTCACGTGAATGTTCAGAAGTGTTGGAATGTTGGAGGTTGGAATGTTAGAAGTTGATGAAGGCTCAGGCAGGTTCGTAATACGTAGCTGTGAATTTTTCAAATATAGGAAAAAATAAAAGGCAATTTGTCTCCCAGAGAAATTTTTTGATTTACGAAATACTAAGTAGTGAACAGACGACCTTGTATGTTCACCAAGAGAATATCCTCGATTCCACTTTGATACTTTGCGTCGAGACGCATTCGTATGCTTGTCAATTTTCTCAGATCCACGGCCTCCTTGATATCGTCGAGCACATCGGCCTCTACCATATTCTCCAGAATCTTAACGAAAACTTTTCATCTCCATGAAAACTAAAAGTGAAAAGAATCTCTATATCTGTTTCCAGGGATTTTTGAGAATATTACGAAGTTAAGAAATATTGAATGCACAAACCAAGGACTCGAGATTTTGGAACGATGACAAGCGTTTCAGCGATTCCTTACCCATACGCCATGGAAAGTGCGGATTTTGTGAGTACAGTGATAACGACCTGTAAATAGAAAGGAGGAACTTCAAGGCGTAAAATACTCAAGAATCATTTTCCAGCGACGTTAAAACGTGGAATCGATTAGTAAATGCAGTACTTGATTCCAAAGAAATCGCTTTTACTGAATCTTCAAAGAGAAAGTGTAGTTCATGTTCTTCAACCGCCTGTCGCTTAATTCTGAAGACGTTCTGCTTGAACGATTTGACTTTAACCTTCCATTACATAAAAAACAAGGAAAAACCTTAAATTCTAGGATGACTTATACAAGGAAGGGTCACATCAACGGCAAGATCAAACACTTTTCAACAGAATGCATATGGGAACGACGGAGGATATTCGTAAGAAGGGAGGGAGTCAGATGACGATCAAAAGTAGTCAAGGAAATGGCCGTGTATGCGTTAGTAAGTTGTAATGCTCGAAAACGATAGCGAACGATTGAAGTCCGTTAAATATTGACTTCATTCTATGCCTAAGGAATTTCTAGCCGCAATTTATGTCAATTGAAGACAAAAGGCATAATCTGTGCGTTGATCTTGAACCCTGAGGGATAGACAATGTATTTAACTTCATCAAGCATCGTGGAGGAGAATGAATTCCGGTATCTACTGATGTATGAAATGGGTCATTTTATTCTACTAGACAGATCTATTACCAAATTTTCAATCCCAGTCTAACAATAGGCATGCTCCGTCTGGGGTACCGCAGCGAACCAACAACCCCGTGTGTACTGTATGTAGGACACCAGTTAGCAGTTCCGTAAAATCAACTCTTATGAACCTTATGAAATTCAGTGCTAGTAAATCCCAGGCGCAAAGTATTTTGAGGTTGAGAAACAGATCGTACAAGCAGAAAACTGCAGGTAATTGATTCCTCCAGATTGTCACTTACCATACACTTAAAAAACAGATAGATTGTAATGATCTTAAAAAACACCAAAAAAAACCCTGACTGTCGAAAGAAAGGGAGGACTAAAAAATTTATTACACTCTTAGAAAGCCAGAGACCATACGATTTTGACCAGTAATCACTGTTCGGTTTTTCACTAAAGTTCTACGGTAATAAAAACGGCGGTGATTAGAAAAACTGTTTAACCAACACCTACTTTAGGTCGACCTTTCCACACATCTCCTCACAAAATGTGATTGCCTGCGCTAATCGTTCATCAACACGTCTCTCCGTCAGATTTGGTCCCTGTTTAAGAACGTCGACCCGTAGCGCCATAACATCAAGGTACGACAGTAACTGAAACGGTTGCCTTTTCTACAACCATAAAATGTTTTATTTTTAAGTAGAACGGCAGGAAACACAGGAAGAGTCCAACAAGAGAACTTCCACAGGAGCTACCTGCTATGACTCGCCATCAGATTCATAGAAAATTTCTTGGCTTATTTTATCAAAAGTGCGTGTCTGGACATTTTGAGACTCTGCTTGTGTTAGTGACGGATTGCACAATGCAAGCCGTGGCTAACCACAAGCCAACGATCATAGACCACGTGGTTTAACTCCATGAACAATTCAAGAAAACCCTGTATTTTTTGTGTCGTTTTCTTGTTCAGCAATCGCGAAGTTTTTAAACAGCATACATTTACTTCCATAAAAAGACACAATACAATACAACACTAGCTGACGTTTCGGCAGTATCGCCTTCTTCAGAGCGTGGAAGAGTCTGCTCATATACAATTTACTAGACCAAAAGCTTCAATAACACTTACAAAAAGACGAAAAACTATGCGGCAATTACATGACCAACAGCTTCTCGAGAAACTCACTGCTTTTTACGTGACTTCCAATGAGGAAGATTAGAATAGCTGATTATAGTGGCATATGGTTGATGACTGCACCATCCCACATCAGAATTGATAGGAACATACGGGGTGAGGTCGCGTATGACCGCTGGGCATTCATCCCTGCTATTCACTGTAGGGTTTTTGGCATTTATCCAAAAAGCCTTTATTTCTTCGTAAAAGCCAAGGTGTTAACGTGATAATGGGTCACAAAGAAGAATTTGGGTCTTGTTCCATCGCCAGGGCGCACGTAACCCAGTGGTTGGAGGCGCCACTGTGACACATACGTGGACTCGATCACCGCGCCCATGGCCCACCAAGCCTTTCATCCCTCCGAGGTCGGCAAATTGGTACCGGACTTGTCTATGAGGGTTGCAGCACTGGCCCGATATGTCGGCAGGCCACCGCGAGTCATTGTAAATGCCAGATATGTATTCAATCACCTTCAACGATGCTTAATGAAGTCGGATGCATGGCGCATCTCTCAAGGATTGATCAACGCCGACAGCTTTATCCTTTTATCCATCGCCTATGCTCTAGAAATGCTACATCGACTTCGTAAATGGGGCAGAAAAGTGGTAGTGGATCCCCGCGAAACTTGAAGGCCTCTAAGAACTTTGTCGCTCATTGTTTCTTCACTAAACAAATCGTATCGATTGGCAATTGATGAATAACCACTCTTTACCAACTGAGGAATCTTTATTCGAACGATGCACCACCCCAGAGGATTCCACTCGAAAGAACTGTGAAAAGAATCATCGTAAGGAAGTGCCGATGTGGAAAATTGACTCGGGTCATCCTTGCTCTGAAGGAGGCTAAAGCTTCGAAACACTAACCGAGTAAGCCTTTGCTGCCAATCTAGTGTTAGCTTAATAACCTGGAAATGTATAGAAGAATACTAAGCAAAGTTTAACGTTTTGTTTTCTGCCTTCTATAATTTTCATGGCAGGTTATTAAGCGAAATACAACCACAACGTTGCGATTTGCGCTCCCCAGATCAACCCCGCTGACGGGTGATTGCTGTGGCAAAAAGATCGATAGAAATAGCTGAGAGACGTGCGAAACTAAGCAAAGTGTTCTTTTATATACGCTTTAAGTTAGAGAATATGCTTGAATTGCTATGGATTTCAGAAATATGGCTAAGCTTTCTTATTAATTCTCGATCAAATCGATCACGCTACGTGAGATGTCCCACATTGGTTCATTGAAATCTCGACGAAGGACAAGAACACGTTCGTTGGGTGATTCCCCGGCTTTTCGTCCGACCAACGCATGACAACCAAACGCCATGTAGTTGGCGACGTGTTAGAGAAACCATAATAACCATGAAAGGAGTGGAAAAAACCAAGGAACCTCGTTATTGGTACGGTTAAGGAAGATAACAGCTTCGTCATTTGGCTGAATTGAAATCCGCTTTATATCCGAAGCTTGAACATACCACAGGGACAAAAGCATCAGTGAAGCCCGTTGTTTTCCATACCCAGATGACTCTACAGTTATCCAAATAATGGTGGTAGAATGTAGAGCCTTAAAAAAAGTCATCAAATCTCCCATGGCATTATCGGTTTGTTGTAGGAACGTTTACACCGTTAAATATATTTATATTCACGGAGTGCCACATGAACTGCGGTGAATTTGAACACTTTGTTCGTTCAACTTTTTGCTTTATAGCAGTTAACTCAGTTTCTAGAATAACTGATTGCCCGCAAAGGGTATTCTCAGATCTCCATCAGAGACCGCTTGCCACTAGGGTGCTGCCAAGGTGCCATTGTCTGTTTCTATGGTGGCAGCGATTCGTGGCATTGGCTGAACGACTAGTCGACGACGATGTAACTGGACAATGAATTCAATGTTATTTTAGGAAAATGTAACCTACTCTAGCGGCAGTGGTCTCGTCGAGTTCTTGAACCGTTCCTTGACTCTCAAACTGAGCATTCACTTCGCTACATCTGTATGTGATGTGGATAGACTTAAGCGTGTTGTCGTTTCCACTAAGGCAATTACGACGCTTACATCGATAGTCTATAATAATGCTATAATATGGTTGAAAAAATCGTTGGCCGCTGAAAAAATAACAACACATTTGATAATGGAAGTCGAAGAGGATATCAATGAAGCAGAAAAGAAAAAAAGAAGGAGGGATAGAATTAACAGATTTCCCAGGCACTGAAATACTTATTAAATACCGAGGAAATCGATGACATTGTTCACATCATTCGCAATGATAACAATAAAAGGATGAAGCTCTCGGAGTTGATAACTCTCTGAGAGATGCACCATGCATTCGACTTCATTAAGCATCGTTTGGAGGTGAATGAATGCATATCTGGTCTTTACAATGACTCAATGAGCCTGTGCTGCTATGTTCCCAGTCAAGTGTGGTACCAACTTGTCGACCCCGCAGGGATGGAGAGCTTGGGGGTCTGTGCGCGCGGCGAACGATTCCACGTGTGCGTTGCAGCGGCGCCTCCACCCACTGCGCCACTCGCGCCCTTTTCGCATTGAAAAGGGCTTGAATGATTAGCAATAAAGACTATATAGAAACGACAATAATAGAAGCAGCAATAATTTAATAAATAAAGAAATTCCCGATCTCTAGAAATTCACGGACAGACCCGATTTTGTTGTATTGAATGTAGTGAAGAGGTATTGCATTGTTGGACTACGACCATCTGCATGTTCGTCGCCCGTTTGCTGGTCGACATCCACGACTTTCACATGGCAATGAGCTGGGATTCTGAACGATTGAGCTCTTTTCTTGTTATGTATATGCGCCAACGTTTTCCTTGCTTATTTTCTTACAGTGAGTTTTGCTCTCTATCTTATATCAGTACTGTATGAATGCGGTGCTTTCTTGTTCAGCAATCGCGAGGTTGTTAAACAGCGCACATTTACTTCCATAGAGAAACACAATACAATACAACACTAGCTGACGTTTCGGCAGTATCGCCTTCTTCAGAGCGTGGAAGAGTATGCTCATATACAATTTACTAGACCAAAAGCTTCAATAACACTTACAAAAAGACGAAAAACTATGCGGCAATTACATGACCAACAGCTTCTCGAGAAACTCACTGCTTTTTACGTGACTTCCAATGAGGANAACACTAGCTGACGTTTCGGCAGTATCGCCTTCTTCAGAGCGTGGAAGAGTATGCTCATATACAATTTACTAGACCAAAAGCTTCAATAACACTTACAAAAAGACGAAAAACTATGCGGCAATTACATGACCAACAGCTTCTCGAGAAACTCACCGCTTTTTACGCGACTTTCAATGAGTAGGATTAGAACGGCTGATTACAGTCGCATATTGAGGCTTTCGAGAAGCTGTTGATCATGTAATTGCCATAGAGTTTTTTGCCTTTTGTGTGTGTTATTGAAGCGTTTGGCCTAGTAAATTGTGTATCAGTATACTCTTCCAAGCTTTGAAGAAGGTGATACTGCCGAAACGTCAGCTACTGTTCTATTGTATTGTATGTTTTTCTACAGAAGTAAGTGTATGCTGTCTAACAACCTCGCTGTTGCTGAACAAGAAAATGACGCATTCACATTCCAATGGTGAGGTTAATAGAAAGTCGATCCTGGGAATTGTTACAAGATGTTCCAGTAAAATACTTTCTACTTGTGAAAGAAGCTCTGTCACTAAGACAGAAGACTGTCTTAGGCAGACAACAAATTAACTTTCTCCGCCATTGTTATCATCATCGAGTTATGCCGAGGTTTATAAAACGAAAACGAATTCACGAGTTGTGCGATCAACCAGAAGATATCCAACAAGTACAAGGCATCGAAGTGGAACTACTTCGAGCTGCACTACTAAGCAAGCAGAGCGAAATCGTCGCCAGAGTGAAGAAGTGTGCAACAAGGGAACATTTTTGTGCTTTGTATTTGGAGGATCACCTTTGGACGAAAATAGTTGGTGGGTCGTTATTGATATGCGATTTTATTAGGTCTAATGTCAAAATAACCTCACAACGAAAGTTTGAAAATCTGTAGAGTGATTCACATGTCTCAGCTTTAAGAAACAACCGCAAACAAATTCTTTACGCTTCTGGTAATAGTTAAAATAGGGTTGATAATGCACGAGCAATAACTAGGGTCACCGTACTTGGGGGAATGACCTTACCTGAGAACGCGCGCTCACTACTAGAACGGGGTCCAAGTTTTTCACCTTCACAACCTATTTCTAAAGTAGCTGTGAGTAGGATTGCATGCAACTTGTATGAACTTTAAGATCGACTCCGTTTAAGGCAAAAGGAGAAATATTAAATAGAATTGAAAACGAGGAAGTGGAGTTATTACCACCATTTTTTTCCCAGAGCGTTCTTCAGACAGCAGGACCCCGATGTCGAAATTGATGTAAAGTTTTGCATGTCTTCGAACGATGTTCTCAAAACTGTTGTCCCCTATCGCAATAGAACGTTTGTTTTGAAC